GTAGGACGCAGGAGCATATGCTTGGTGAGTGGGATATGCAACCAAGTACGGTGTAGGCTTCAACTTAAAATGGCAAATCTCAATCAAACAGCGAATTTAGAAGTCAATGTGCAAAAACTAAACTTGTCATAGCAGTAAAAAAGAGCAGTCTGCATAAATCATACTCATCTGTTTGCAGAGGGAGAGGGGCACTGGGCAACCTGTTATGTTGATTAGGGAGTCCTCTGAGCTTCCTCGAAGTGGAGGGGACAGTCAGTGAATTTGGGGAATAATAAACTCTGAATGTTATAATCCTCTGAAACTGTAGTGAACAGGATGCTTACTGAAAGTTTGAATCAACATTTGTGAAACTTTGAATCAGTGTGTTCATGATAACACGGACAGCAAACCCCATACTGTGCTCTGAAATAGCTCTGGTTTATAATTACTTTATTTACATTAACGTAATTTTTTGGTTAGTTGCTGCATTACCAGAACACTTTATTCCCATCATATTGAAATTTGGACTGCCAAGCCATGGATTTTAGTAGAAATACTGTATGTAATTATATATAGAAAGCTGTTGAATAATTTGTCATGTTTAATGATTAATTTATGGTATATCAGGCATGCTTGCCAACTAGTATTTTCCCTCTTTGTTATTTGTTGATCCTGGGATACACAGTTTTGGTGCTTTGGGATTTCTGTTATTCTTTATATGATGTTTATCACTACCATATCCTGTATGGTACAGATTACATATTAGTTTGCAGCCACTTTACCGTGGTGTCTCCTACTTGATCATCCATTTTATGTGCTGGAGACATTGTCGTGGAAGCAGAGCCATTTCTAGTGAATTCAAGCAAACAGAAACTCAGCAGCGCTGGGCCCATGTCAGGGGCTTCAGCAGCTATCTGCTGTTACCAGGGGCTCTACTTCAGTGAGCTCATTTCTGCTATTGCTCTATGAGCATCCCGTTTCCCCAGAACTGTGGGGCAACTGAAAGCTCTCCCCTCAGACACTGATGTAGGAACATTATTTACTGTGGTGCTTTCGAATTTCAAAACTGGAATACCATAGTTTTCTCCTTAATGGACTTCCAGATGCTACTATGTGAAGATTAAAGTGAATTAAAAAACTCTGCAAGAAAGGTTTTACGGACACTAAATTTTGCACTTGCATTAAAACTGTTCTCAAATTACTCTCCTGACTCCCTCCTGATAAAGTTTTTTTTTTTTTTTTTTCCCGAATGTGATTGATCTCATTAAAAGGTGTTCATACCTCTTTAATCCTGTCATCAAATTAATCCCGTTGATACTGTTAGTATCTTTGTAATGAAATATATAGAAAAAGAAAACTGAAATTTGGCTTTTTCAAATTTTCAGTGCAAGTAAACTGACATACCAAATTGTACCAGCCTTCATGCTGTCAAGAGATGCCCTAAAAAAGCTCTTAGCCCTGATTATCTGCTGGAACAATGGCTGTGCCTCTTATTTTACACAGCCGCAAGCGGGGTGACTCTCTGTGAAGAAACAGGACATTCTGTGCTGTGTTCCCTTCTCAGGAACGTGAACTCTTCTCTGCCTGCATAAAGCCCTGCTGTTTACAAGCCTGAGATCCTCTTGTAAACACACACTTCTGCACCATGCCCTTGAACGGCTTCAGCATTTAGCACTGTCCTATTCACAAACACCAGTACTATATCCTTGCCTCTCTCAGCACTCAGTGCCCTGCTGTTCGCACCTCTTGAAGTAAATTCTGTATTTTTATGTAAAAGCTGTGGTGTCTGACTGTAACGCGTGTACTGCTGCCCTCTTCCAAAGAATGCTTCATGTTATCATATACTGTTTTCCTGGATAATGTTTTCTTTCCTCAGAAATTCAGAATATAAATATTCACTTATAGCACATCTCCTAAATCAATGATGTACTGTTGATGGGAGTTAAGCTTTCATAAAAATACCATTGTCAGGCAAGGTTTTGTACAGCAGCTATGAACTAGATGGGGAAAAATTTGAAACTGGGTATAATTTGTTATCTACATATCCCTGATGATTGAATTGCACACCTGTAACTGAGAACACTTCTTGTAACACCGCTTTTAAGTGGGAAACTTTCTGAATATAGCAAAAAAAAACGATCCCCAAAAAACCTTAACTATAAAAGAAGTTGAGTACAGATTTGGAAGAGGGGATATGTAAAATACCTAATTAAAAGTGAAAAAAACCCCTGTGTTGAAGTTTCAAAACCCAAATGAGCATTGTGTGTGGGGATAAAGCATTCCCAAAGGCAAATGCTGCAAGAAAATTATTCTCGACATTTTCTATTCATTTCCACTAACTTGATTTTAAAATCAGCACTTCTAAAGCACATACTTTTCAAGCAGTATCTGCAGCATGCTCCTATGTGTAGTGTCACATCATACCAGGGCAGGCTGTGCTCTACTTTCTTCCAGCTGACATTCTTGGCAGTGTTTTAAGTTGCTTTGTCCATCTAATGGAAGTGATGACTGAGAGTAGAGGTAGCTCATGTCTCTCCCTGGCACATGGAGGACAGCAAGGTGATTTGAGACAGCCAGCATGGCTTCACCAAAGACAAGTCCTGCCTGACCAACCTACTGGCCTTCTATGTTGGAGTGACTACATCAGTGGAAAAGGGAAGAGCTAAGGATGTCATCTATGTGGAATTCCATAAGGCCTTTCACAAGGTCCTCCACAACACCCATCTCTCTAAATTGGAGAGGTATGGATTTGATGGGTGGACTGTTCGGTGGATGAGGTATTGGTTGGATGGTCACATCCAGAGGGTAGTGGTCAACAGCTCAATGTCCAAATTGAGATTGGTGACAAGGGGTGTCTGTCAGGGGTTGATATTGGGACTGGTCCTGTTCAGTGTCTTCATCAATGACATACATACACAGTAGGATTGAGTGCACTCTCAGCAAGTTTACAGATGACACCAAGCTGAGTGTTGTTGATGACACACCTGAGGGGTGTGATGCTGTCCAAAGGGACCTGGACAGGCTTGGGAAGTGGGCCTGTGTAAAGCTCATGAGGTTCAACAAGACCAAGATGCAGGTTCTTGCATCTGGGTCAGGGCAACCTGCAGTATTAATACAGTCTGGGGAATGAAGGGATTGAGAGCAGCCCTGTGGAGAAGGACTCCGTACTGGGGATACTGGTGGATGAAAAAACTGTACATGAGCTGATTACGTGCACTCAGCCTAGAAAGCCAACTGTATCCTGGGCTGCATCAAAAGAATGATGGCCAGCAGGTTGAGGGAGGTGATTCTGCCCCTCTGCTCTGGTGAGACCCCACCTGGAGTACTGTGTCCAGCTCTGGTGCTCTCAGGACCCAAAATACATGGGCCTGTTGAAATGGGTCCAGAGGAGGGCCATGAAGGTGGTCAGAGGGATGGAGCACTTCTCCTATGAAGACAGGCTTGAGAGTTGGGGTTTTTCAGCCTGGAGAAGAGAAGGCTCTGGGGAGGCGTTATTGCGGCCTCTCAGTACTTAAAGGGGCCCTAAAGGAAAGACGGGGACAAGCTTTTTAGCAGGACCTGTTGTGGTAGGACAAGGGGTAATGGTTTTAAATTAAAAGAAGGAAGATTTAGACTACATCTGAGGAAGAAATTTTTTACAATGAGGGTGGTGAAGCACTGGAACAGGTTGCCCAGAGAGATGGTAGATGCCTCATTCCTGGGAACATTTAAGGTCAGTTTGGATGGGGCTTTGAGCAACCTGATCTAGTGGGAGGTGTCCCTGTCCATGGCAGGGGACTTGGACCAGTTGACCTCTAAAGGTCCCTTCCAACCCAAACTATTCTATGATTCTTAGCTACCCACTCATTGTCTTCTGTTATGATTCTTTAAATTCTACAGTGTATTTTGGGCATGGCTGTTACGCAACCATCTGGTAGCTCTTGAATTTATGGAGTCTGCCAGGGGGACATGTGCTGACATTCAAAAAGAGAGTAAAAGACTGTTAGCCAAAATATTCCCCCTTTTGTTTGATAGATAATGTTTGGCTTGTACTTGGCACACCAGAAAGTTGTTCTTTAGAAGTAAAAATCAAATTTAAAAGATATCATAAAATCTTCTGTAATTCATGAGGCTGTGTTCTTACTGCTGGTTGGCCTGCTTTCGTATGGATATTACTACCACCAAACAGAAACACTAATCTTTGCATGCAGTAAAACCTCTGTGCTACAAATTAGTGGTGCAAAATTTGAGTTGTATATAGACTACGCTATGCCTATTATCTACTTGCTTTTCTGTAGGAAGGTTTTAAACATGTCCCATTAGGGTTTCCATCAGAGGGAGCCCTGCAGCGGGTGCTTCCAGCCCCTGTGCAGGACAAGGCATCTGCCTGCATGCAGCTGCCTTGGCAGGTGCGTTTGACTTCTCTGCTGCCAGTTACCCCCAGTCAACCACCAAAGGTTTCCCTGTCGTATTTGATCAGCAAACAATGAATATATTGGAAGGGTTTCCTTTTACCATGCAGAAGGCACTAAGGGAAGCTGTTTTGTCTAATTGCACATAGGTATTTCCTTACTAATTTTCTACTCCTCTTTAGTGGTGTGGCGAGCAAAACATACATTTCCACATAGAAAGCCTCTAAAGCCAAACCCTCCACCACTGACAACAAAATGAATTTGTCTGAGGTCTCTAACGGAACCACACGGAGAGCCTTCCCAACAGTTCTCTCTTCTGCTGTTATGTCTTACGGATACTAGAAAACAGTTGTGAAATCTTCCATTTAGCACTGAATTGTTTTACAGATGTGAAATTGAGTTACTTGAGTTTTCATAAAATTCCTGTAAAGCAAGTTCTGAACTTTTAAATATTAAATAACCTAACAGAAAATGAATATCAAACCATCGTGCATTAGGTAGAGGTACTGTTTACAAATGCCTTGTTCTAACCTATATGCATACATGTACTGCAAAAGCTACAGTGAAATCCACAGTGATTTCAATGCTACTGACAAAATCATAGGATCTTGTTGTTAATTCTTTCCATAGTGGTTCTTGCCAAGAGAAGATGACACTTCTGCTCCATGAAATGTAGTCTAAAGGTTGTTTGGGAAGCAGCAGGAAAACACCACGGGTGGAGCCATTTCCCTTTCAGCTTTAACAAGTACACAGCATCTCCAGGTAAGCAATTGTTTGTGTATGATGAGACCGTGTTGTTTTGTGAGCGGGTGCTGAAGGAAACCACTTCTTTCTGCTAAAAATACCAGTCAAACAAATCTCTGCAGTGCACTGGTCGAGGTGGATTTTCCCACCCTGTGCTTGCAGCAGAGCACAACGCCCCAAAGCCTCACCTAACAGCAGCCCTATGGGGTTCGAATGTTCTGATGAATCCAGGCAGAGAGAGAAGGGATCTGTTTGGTAACCAGAGTCTCTGTGGGCCAGTCCACCAAACTGAAATGAACCCACCAAAGAAGACATGTTTACAGGCGGCAGCAGCGTAACACGGGCTTTACAGGTTCTGCAGTGTCTCTTACTGACCTCCAGTAACTCATGGACCAGAGTGTTACGCTACAAGCTTGTTGATACAGTTTTAAGATGAGGAAAGAGTAAATAATTCATCTGAAGACTATAGCAAGGTCGTGTTAAACATTTTGGCAGATAGGCGCTGGATAGGATGCTGTCATGGTGGGTGGGCAGAGGCGCCTGCCCTGGCCCTGTGGGGGGCTGGGCGGTCCTGGGGGGCCACCTGCCCCGTGGGGAACAGGGCCATCACTCTGCAGGCAGCTGTGAGATTGGGTTTCTCTGTTGCTTTTGCACGGTTACTTGGTGTGGTTTGACTTGTGAGTCTAATTGAGAAAAATTTAGAATATTTATTTTTTTTTAAATATTTTTTTAATTTTTAGTTTATTTAATATTTCTTTTAAATAGCCACTTTATTCTACATTTGCCTTATATTTTAGTTTGAAACTGGCAGAAACTTTAGCAAAGCCTATTGAATACAGTGCCGTCTGCTGTGACAGCACATGTGTAACTGAAAGCATGGGCATTTTCCTGTTCCTCAAGATTATAAACAGAAACTTCTTCCCAGTATACCACTCCTATAAGGAATAGCATGTTTGAGCTGAAAATGACTGCTTTAGGGATGCTGGACTCACGCATCTGATCCCACACAAAGTTACAGACTTGCTATAAGTACTGGCTGGGAATTTTTGACCAATTTAATTCAGCAGCACATAGGCATACCTTGAATAATGACAGAGGCTTATGTCTTCATCACATAGTATCATCATTGTAAAAACAATTCTATCTATCTTTATATCTCTGTAGACAAACAAATACTTGAATTATCCCTCAAATGTATTTTTAGCATGGGCAAGTTGTTCTGGATTTTCTCCAGCTCATATGTAAAGTTTTTACTTTAGAACTTTTTTTACTGTGCTTTATTTCTGGAGAGCCAGCGGTCAGCAAGAAGAATGACTCCATGGTGACTTTTTTTAATAACAACTTTTTTGCAATGTCCTTTGCGATATTTTGGCCCAATTAATAATTAATTAACAAAACAAGTTGGGGGAAAACATTGAAAGGCTTCTATTTTAATTTGGACAATGCTAAAATGTGGTTGTTCCACTAACATCTCGGGTAGATGCTATTATTTAGGTATAATGCAATAACTGCCAAAGGTAGCACAGTTAATCCACATACAAGTGTTAGCTCCTGCCAACATAGGCCACTCAAAACATGCATGAAAAGGGACAAAAGTATTTTGTAGTGTGATAGTCAAAAAGGCACTTTATGGTGCACATCAATATTATTGTAGCTATTTGGGGTAGTAAAGTCGACGGGTTGATGTGGTGCTGGGAGGTATGGTTTAGTGATGATGCTCCTTGTTTGTTGTGTGGGTGTCTATTTTTGTCAGTTAGGTTGATGGTTGGACAAGATGATCTTTAAGGTCCCTTCCAACCTAGAAGATTCTGTGATTCTGTGATTTCTGGGGCAAGGGGAAAAGCAGTCTTTGTTTTGCTTAAGAGCATAGGCACACCAATCTCAAAACACATGTGTTGATGGAGCTTTGCAAATGAGGACATATTGGCCTAAGTATGTGGAGGAAACCCTAGCTTCCTAGTAGCCTCAGAGTTTGTTTGCTTTTACTTCCCCTCCAAGTAACTTGCTGGCAAATTCTACATAGCACCAAAGGCAAAAAAGACACTTCTTATTCCTGAGAGAAGCAAGGTACGATTTCTGTGACTTCTGTGGCAGGGGCACCCATTGGCCAAGAAGCTGTACCCTTGAGGTGCTGCACCTGCCGACTGCAGGAAAACGGGGCTGAGGTTGTCCAGAAAGAGATACCCTTCTCCAGGACTTAATGCAATCCAAGTGCTCTGTGTGAGCCAATGCACGCGGGATGCAGGAACAACCACAAAAGCATGGATTAAGGGCAAAGAACAAATTTAATCTCAATACCTCATGGATCGGGGAACCTCTAAAGCAGTACCTGGGCAGAGGCAGGCAAGCAGGGGATGCAGGCACCACAGAGTGAGAGTCCTTATTAGCAGGAAAGTCCTTGTTAGCAAGGGAGTGAGGGAGCGAGAGAGCTTCCACTTGCTGTTTGGGCCTGTATTTCAAGGATTCTGGCAGGCAGAGCCTTCTGCTGTGCTTTGATCTCTTCAATAGCAGTGCAAGAATCTCAGGGTGTTTCATAAGGTGCCCCTGAGTCCATCCCAGGATTATGTTATCTAAGTGCAGATGTTCTACTTGTTGAGCACACAAAACTAAGCAACAATTAGTGTGATAGATGTGTTTTCTGGCACCCTGCATGTGAATTGCTTGAGCATATTTACAGTCCTCCTCTCCAATCTTCCGTTACTTTCCCACAGCTCTTTGGGAGAGTTGCTCCAGGAGAAATGCAATGCTGGAGGCTCTCAGTGAGGCACGTTCGCGTTGCGGTGGGTTGTACAACACAGGATATTACTGATACAGAGTTGTACACAGTGCAGACCATTGGGTGCTGAGGTATGCTGAAGATGCTGATGTCATTCCAGGACATTGTTCAAGAAATAGAAAATATTATTTAAAATGTGGTAAAAGTAGATGGCATGCAAGTGAATTGTGATGCGTTGAGGTGAAAATGTGATAAACTACTCTTAGCCTTTGACAATACTCTGTGCCACTTCAATTCTTGGAAAAAATGATAAGCTTCTGAGAAAATAATAAGAAAAACAGAAGAAAACACAAGCCTATCTTTCATCTGCTTCCATCTCTTTAGTTCACAGAAGCGAATGCTGCACAGGAGTGAGAGGCAGAGGGTAAAGGGGGATTGAGGTGGGAAGGATTGTAATTATACTGAGAATACAGGATATGATCAAGTAAGATAATAATCAAGATTAAAGAAGAAAGAATACTTTATATAAAGCTTAAAGGGGAAGAAATTGGTATGTTGCAAAACAAGAGAAGAATAAATAATTGTTATTTATGTTATGTCTATAGTATTCCCCCTGGAATTATATACATATAATATAAATATAAAATAGATAAAGTGTATTAGTCTTTCCAGTAGGACTGCAGCAAGACTGTTGCTAAGGGATGAGCTGCCAGAATAATAATGAAGACTGTTGCTGTATGTTCTCCTAAAACAAAGAGGATTTTTGTTTGTTTCTTTTTAAGAGGAATTTTACTAGTGTGATACGAATAAGGAAGTTTTGAGAAGAACTGTTGTTTTAGAACAATCATTGCAGGCTAACATGAGCATGTTGAAGGCAGAATTAACAATTATGGTGTAGCAGTTAGATGTGAACTACTACCAACATTCAAGCTGACTGCTAGCAGAAATACCAGGGTAGTTAGAGGCGCATTACCAGTTTCTTCTCCCCTGTTTCCAGCTTTTGGAAGGAGGGTGGAATGGCAGGAGGAGACAGCAGTACTACTGAAAATGACAGAAAAAAATAACTTGATGAAAATGATTCCAAGAGATGTATAGAACCTGGAAAGACCTAAAGGGCGTATTCCTAATCAATAACAACTTCAAAATACAAACAGTGCGAAAGACAAAGGAATTATTCACCATCTGAGATGGAGACAAGAAAGAGAGCCTGAGGTAAATGCAGAAAAAGCTTAGGATAAGTATTAAGCAAAATTCTCAATAATATGATTTGCCCCTGAAACTGTGGCTGTGCTCTATAATGTGCAATGTTTTTATAAAATGCAGAATTGACTCTTGAATGTATTTGGAAAAAAGATCGTGTCACAGCAATACACTGAGGTTCTCCATCAGCCTGTGCTCAAACTCTGCTCAGAGATGCTTCTGTAGGATATCTCTGCAGGATAATGTTTCTCCTTACAAGGTAAGGAGGAAAGCTTATCCCTTTCCAGTGAAGAGCAGGATCATTTTTTGGAGATGCCGTTGAGTGTGGCATATTAAATACATACCTCAAATTTGGAATAACATGCTTTTTATGCAGGATTTGAGGAACATTCTTCCTGCAGTGATGGGCTTTGTGTGATGCACCTGGTGGAGGCTGTGAGACTTCTACTGAAATGCACTGGAAAGATGCTGTGCTGTGTTAGACAAAAAGGTTAGGTAAAATCTGGGATTCATAGGTTTAAAGATAGGCAAAATGAGTAGGCTGTGAAATATGATCCTTTTTTCTTTTCCTTCTAACATGTTAGTTTCAGTGTTTTCAGAGAAATCCTTTCCTGGGCTGTTTCATTCATAAAACAAATTAGTGGTGATGCACATGATATGTAGAGTGGAAGAGACATCTAAGAATAAATAAAAAATCTGTTTTCTTAGCTGATATCAGCAGATGCTGACCCACATCATGTGACTTTCTTTAACCTAATATAATGCTCTGTGTTTAGGGTCATAGAACAAGGACCTGTCCTGGAGGAATTGCTTTTTTTTTTTTCCACAAGGAAGAGTGTGAAGAAGTTAGGAAAAATATTGGTTGCTATTTGAAGGGCTATTTTCTGTTCCTTTCTTATATATTGCCTATTTGGGATGGAAGGCCCCATGCTGCACTTCTGTGGTGGTATGTGGAGGGGAGCAGGCAGGAGTGAGGGGGAGAAGCAGCTGCTGTGCAGTATGACTTTTATCCTGGAAAGTGTCAGCCTCTGCAGTAGATTTACAGGAGCTCTGCTTCATGTTGCAGTGTAGGGAGTTGCCAGGAGAGGGGGGCAAATGGGGG